AGAAGATAATCGATTCAATTCCTTGAATAATGAAACAAATGCCTCATCGCCAGTATAATATTTTCTTCTTCCCTTTTGACAAGCCTTGAGGTAATAATACCAATACTCCATTTGATATCCTTCTCTAAATCGTATACAAACAGAGTCATATAGTGGGATAATATCAGTTGGACTAGTGAGTTGAATGAGATTATTTTTATTGATTTTTGTTTTACTAAAATATATGTTTGTAATAGTCAATGCATTAATTTTGCTTTTGTATGTTTGGTTATTTAAACGAATAATAATATTTTCACTATCTACACTAAATTGTATTAAGTGTTCTTCTTTTCCATAAATAATAACACAGTCCGATTTCAGTTGAAGTGGATTGGAATATACTGATATCCATTCATCAGCTCCCATTATTGAAATATTTTTTGGAGGTGGAGTTGGTAATGGCTTTGAAATAAATAAGTCAGGAGGTGGAGGAATAAGTCTAAAATGAGAAGGAAGGTAATATCTGAGGAAAATTACTAATACAAAAATAAAGATGAAAGGAAACAAGGTGATAAACAAATACATATATATTTTATTTATCTTTTTCTAGTTTAACTTTTTAAACTGTTTAACTAAACTTTGTCATAAAAAAGAATCAAAACTAATTTAGTCTAACTTAATTTTTGAATGAAATTCGGGGGAATAATGTCAGAAGTTGTCGTCAAGACAATATTACGCACAATCTATGAATAATACTATAAGTGTTGACTATGCATAAAAAGACTTTTTAGTTAATATAAATAATTATGAGTGATATAATAATGCAGAGAAATTCCTTTTTTACTCAACTTTGAACAATATGCCTTGTCTTAAATAAATTAAAATGCAACAAAAGAAGTAAAAACGATTATAAAGGTCGTTGTAACAAAAACCAACCAACAACAATTCTATATTTTTTAAGTTTATTTAGAAAAATGGCTGTCAGTCATGAGGTTTTTACAAAAACATATCTAGATTGATATAATTGGAATGTTTTTGAGCAATAATTGGCACTTGGATTATAATTATTGTTACTGTTAAAAGAACCTTTGATTTTCTTGTTAAAAAACCAAAAAAAAAAAAAGATTCTAAAGAAATAGGTATTTTCATGATTTTAAACTGAGATAATACTTAGCTATTAAATTAACCCAACAACTCATATACTATAAGAGAAGCAACAGACCCCATACACTTTCCGATGTTTAAAGATAAAAAGATAACATTGCTTGTAATTAAGGCCTTCTGTTTTTCTGTTTTCTTTGATATATTTTGCATTATCACAGTTGATAAATATCCATTTGTTGATGCTAAAATAAATGTAATTAAAAATGATTCTATTTTCGAGATAAACTCATTTGATAAATAATTGTTCAGTATTGGAATGAGTAATATAATTCTAAATAATGTTGTAATGTATAATGTCCAATTACTCCACTTGACATCAATAAATCCAATAAATCTGAATATTAAATCAGAAGACCAAAAAATTAGAATAATGTTGAGACAAATATCAGTATTTTCATTACTATTATTAGTGTATGAAGTTTCAACTAAAAGTGATGGGAAGAGCGTAAATGTAACAATTGACAAAATTATTGAACAAAGAAGACAAATCCAATTTGATTTTAATACACTAATAATATCTGAAAATGAAACGTACATATGAATATCTGGTAATGAATTGATTTTAGTATAATACATTGAAGAAGATTCCAACTTTAGTTCATTAGTATCTTCTGAAGTATTACTATCTTCGTCTGAGTCTTTTTCTCTTTTTGGATTAGCATCAATTTCATAATCAAGCTTCATATGAACTAAGTTAAATAAATAGACTATTACAGTTAAAAACATTGGTAAGAAATAAGCCAAAAACGTATCAGTTTTAATATCAGAAAAATACATTTTATGAGAAAATACTCTGAACAGTACTGAGACTATTGCACTTACTGATACACCTGTAAAGAATATACCAGTTATAACAGTCCCGTTTCTTATTGTAATAGGTATAAAAGAGGATGAATGAATTTCTGTGGCTAACGAAGCAACACTAATAATTATATTAGTGAAAATAAATTTAGTTGTTGGAGAAGTTATGTAAATCAAATTATATGGCATAATAAAGTAACATAAAATAAGAACGATATATCCTACATGAATAAAATTAAGTGAAGGATTTGATTTAAACCAATACTTGAAGACAGTCAAAAAAAGTAAGACAATGACTGACACAATACAATAACTTACCAAGAAAGTGAATGTAAATGTTTTGTTAATATAATAATCGAAAATATCATATGACCCAATGGTTGTGTTATAAAAGAGGAATAAAGCAATACCTGTGATAAAGGAAATAAAATTGTTTTCAATGAGGATAAAGTTTTTCTTTAAATTCTCAATCATAACAAACTCTAGATAAATTTTTTACTCTAATAATATTAACTTTTCATTTTAAAAAGAAATGACAATCTCTAAGATTTTTTAAAGAACAAAAAGATCAAAAGACATGACAATTTCAATTAAAGAGATGGAAACATTGGACCAGTTCCATAACTGTAAGGTTGTTGTTGAGATTGGTTATTTCCTGTAATTGAACCTACCATAGAAAGTGCTTCTTGTTGTCGTTGATTTTGGAATTTAATACACTCATTTTGAAAATTATCTATTTTATTTTTAGCGTCACGATGGAATTGAATACTTTGAGGTAAAATTTTTAAAATTTCATCAGCAGCATTGATAGCTATTCTTAGTCTTTGGACCATTCCAGTAATAGCAGCGGGTCTGTTTCCATTATTTATTTCTCTAAATAAGTTGTCTTGTTTAAATAGACTTTGTTGAATAATATTTTTAGTACTATCAAACTCCTTCAATAAATTTATAACGCATTGACTATTTCCATTTCCTCCTTTAATAACTCCAATTTTATCCTTTTCATTCTTTTCATATATTTTAATCATATTGTCAAGAGCAATTTGTCGTTCTTGAACAATTTCTTTCCATCTCATTTCAATATGTTCAATACTAATATTATTTGTTCCAAATAATTGTTGAATATTTCCTTCACATAACAATTTAATATCATTCTCGAATTGTCTAAATTTATTTATCATATTATCATCAATACTTTTAGCTTGTTTTAATGATGCTCTATACTTTTCACTTTCTCTACGATAATTATATGCTGCCATTTCTGATGCTTTACGTTTCCATTGATATGGATATTGTCCTCTTAATCTCCTTTCTTCAGCTGCTTCAGAATCTAATGCAATTATTCCTTTTTCAAATGAAGCAGTTGTTTCTGCATCAATAGTGGTAATGAATTCCATTTGTTGACGAATAGAATTGTATGTATTTAATTGCTTTAGTCTATTAGAATTTATAATAATATCTTGTGGAATATCACTTGAGTTTCCTTTTAAACTATTAATAATTCTATTTCCTTCATTTGTTTTACTTTCACAAACTTTTTTTGAATCATTTAATATAATTTGAGCTTTAGTATTATATTCATTTAATGCCCTTGATAAATTAGCTGGAAGGATATTATCAAAAAGATTTTCTATTGTTTCTAATTCAATTGGTTTTGCAGCAAGTACTTCAGTTATTGGTGGAAGATCTCTTCTTCTTGGTAAATTATTCATATAAATGTTATTATTATTTTTTTCTGCTTCAGTGTAGGCTGCTTTAGCTTCAGTATAAATCTTTTTTAATGCATCTTTATTAGCAGAGTTATAAGCCATATTATATGCTTGATACATAGCTTTCATTGCCCATTTTAATCGTTTTACCTGTTCTCCATATTCCATTTTTTCTTCTGCAGCTTTAGCAGCTAATGTTTGTACACAATAAATGGCATAGTCTTTAATAATAATAAAATTAGAAAGGAAATTAAATCCAATCGTAATTTTATAAAATGTTTTAAATGCATCTACTGATGGGACTAACTGGTTTGCTGCTGCTGCTGCTAGTTTGGTTTGAAGTGACACAGATTTTCCTTGAGCAACGGCATTAATATGCATAATTAAATGAGCACATCCTAACGCTAAAGTTGTTAGTGTCTGTAATCTACGTGGATGAAGATCACCACTATTCGTTGCACATAGTTGAGCACAATCTTCTGCTTTTTGGAATGCACCAGCAGCTTGTTGAAATGATTGAACAGCTGATTTAAGAGAATTTGCATCAGTTGTTTTTGAAAAAGAAGAACCTAGAGCCATACAACAACACCCCATATTATACATAACATTTGCCTTTTCAAAATCAAGTGTTGAGTATGTGAATTTCTTTGGTTTGCTATCTTCTTGTAAATAGGTGTCATACCATGTAAAATGTAGATTAATAGTTACTCTTCCTGATAACTGGTTTAAGTATTGGTAATACTTCCATGAAATATCTCTTAGTTGTTGAGATGGTTCAACTGAAATGATCTGTTGTCTTAACTGGCTCAAACTTTGTAGTGCTAACATTGCATTTTTTTCTAATACACAACTCTGGAGCGCATAAGTAAAAGCATAAGTAACATCTGCAGGATCTGACTTTCTCATTGGTATTACTGGAAATTCAGGAATGAATTGTCTATTCATCTTTTATTATCTTTGTATATAAATTATAAGTTCTTTTTGCTATTTACAATTTTCATTTTGAGAGATTTTATTTGATTAAAAAGTTCTTATCTTTATGTAATAACTTGAACAAAACTTGTATTAATAGTAATCATATTATAAAAATAAAAAAATTTTGATTGGTAAATTCCAAAAACAAATAAAATTAGATTGTATGATTGTAGAATTGGACATTAGTTGAATTAGAATGAAATTTAGTTAACTTGACAGTATTTTCTACACATTTGTTATTTGAATTTAAGGAATATCCTGAAGTACATGAGCTACAAATATTTGAAGAAATATTACAAGAATTACAGTACTTATCAAATTTACATGTGTTTGCATAAACAATCATATTTAAAGGATAGACATAATCTCCTATTCTCCATCCAATTCCACAAAGGTTTGTTGTTTTAATTCTAATATAATTGTCTCCTTCACCCCATCCACTAGACCATGAATTTCTTATAATAAAATATTCAATTCCATTCTCTACACCCCACCCCATCAGTACCACTTCATGATCTGTCATAAATGAAGAAGAAGAGGTGTCACAAACTGAAGTTGATGGAAAAGAAAAAATACCACTTGAGTATGAACTAAATCCTGTTCCACTTACTTTTACAGAAACTAAAAATGGTCCGTAATGATGTAACAATTTTTTTAGTATTAACACCATATTTTGATCTTTTGATATACCAAATGTTTTATAACCAGTAATTGCCATTTGTATTTGAACACTGGGGTTTTGGTCTCCTCTAATAGTACAAAGATTTCTATTTGACCCATCAACAAAAGGATAATCTGCATCTAATGAAAAGGATTTGACAGCATTAACAGCATCTCGAGGATGACCACCACAACAACGTTTTGTGGCTTTAGTTGTTGTAACATCAAGAAAACGTTGTGCGGAGAATTTTGGTGGAGTTTTTACACATCCATATCTTTGATACGTTAAATTTGAATAAAGGTATTGTGCTAAATTTGCAAGAGAAATTGCCCAACAACCTCCACAATTTTGTTGGCTAAATACTTCTCCACATAAATCAACTTTTGGACGGTCTGTGTTTTTTGAAACATACTCCCCACAAAAAGCATGGTTTTGAGGTAAACTATCACCAGAAGGTAATGGTGGTATTTCATTCCATGGTTTTTCAACTTTTCTCAGTTCTTTAGAATTAAAATGTTCTTTGTCATAAGAAGAGACAGGAACAGGTATTCCCTTATTCATTGGTAATTCATCATCAATTAAATCTGTATACATGTTAATGTCGTGAAGTGCGTCAGAAGGGTTAGTTCTTTTTTCATTTAAAGCTTTTATGTTTTTCAAGTTATTCTTAAAAATTTGGAATCGAAGTTGTTCTTCAGTAGGAGAATAATGTCTACTGTATTTTGTTTTGAACTGAGTAAATAATTTGTCTACAGGGAGTTCTAAATTAAATGCAATGCTTTGCATCTTTTGGTTAGAAACAAATAGTAAAAAAGCGACAATAATCGCTATCATTTGTTGAAACGGTCTTATTGCTTTTATCTTTATATACCATTTTTTGGATAGTTCTTTTCATTTCTAGTGATAAGTCACACAATTGCTTTTTGAAGAAACAAATCATCTACATAGAGTCTGTTAATTTCAAATAATCACAAAAGGAAAGAAGGGAATAAAAAAATACAAAAACTAGATGAAAAAAAGAAATTCTAAAACAGTTTTTTATAACAAAATATAAAATAATAGTTACAAAAAAATAAAATTTAACAAAAAGAAGAAAGATTTTTTAACTCATGGAAATGATGAAAAAGATGAAAAGAGAAGAACTGAAAAGGAAAGAAACCATTGAATGGGAGACGTGTCATCATTAAAGGTATTACTCATTGGAGATTCTGGTGTCGGGAAGACAGCGTTACTTCGTCAATACTGCGACCAAAAATTTAGTGAGGATGTGTCTTCAACAATTGGAGTTGATTACAGAACAAAAAGAGTGAATTTTGGTGATAAAACAATCACACTTCAACTTTGGGATACTGCAGGACAAGAAAGGTTTAGAAACATTACAACTAGTTACTATAGAGGTAGTCAAGGAATTTTAATTGTTTATGATGTCAGTAATTTTGATAGCTTAAAACAAGTCACATATTGGATTGGTGAATTAAAAAAGGAAAATGTAGATGGAATGATTTTTTTGGTTGGTAATAAAATAGACGTTATCGATAGCCTTACCAAAGAACATGAAGACATCATCAAAACAATTAACCTTCCACACTTTACTGTTTCTGCTAAAACTGGTGAAGGTGTTCAAGATTTATTTACACAATTAGTTAAATCAATTCTTGAGAAAGGATTAGTTCCAGAGCCAGTAGGAGAAATGGAAGAAGTTTCATTAGAGAAAGAATCAACAGAAAATAAGGGATGTTGTTGATAATTAATATTATTACACAACAAATTGCTATTAATTTAGAATAAAGAAAAGAACAAGTTAATTTATTTCATTACAAAGGAAAAAGAATATATTACATTTCTAAATAAAGAAAACAAATAGTAATTAAAAAACAAAACAAAAATATTAACATAGAAAAATATTGCTTGTAAGTTGTTTAAAAAGTAATGAATCGAATTTAGAAGAGCATACATCCTCCTTTCTTTTTATCTTTTTTTGCTCCACCTGCAGGAGAAATAACTGCCCTAACAGCTTCATCAAAAACAAGTCTTAAATTCTTTTGAGTTAAAGCAGAACATTCGATATACTTAACTGCTCCAATGTCTTTGCATTTAGCTTCACCTTGTTCAGTAGTGATTGGAGTAATTTTTTTCTCTTCTAATCTCTTTAATTGCTCCTTGTCTTCTCTCATATCAAGTTTAGTTCCAACTAATAAACATGGAGTCTTTGGGCAATGATGAGAAACTTCTGGTTGCCACTTAGATGAGACGTTATCAAATGATGGAGGAGAAACAACTGAGAAACAAATTAAGAATACATCAGTTTGTGGATATGATAATGGTCTTAATCTATCATAATCTTCTTGTCCAGCAGTATCCCAAAGCCCAAGATTAATTGGTTTAGAATCGACCATAACAGTGGCAGAATAATTATCAAATACCGTTGGAATATATTCGTTAGGAAATGCATTTGTAGTGTAAGAAATTAAAAGACAAGTTTTTCCTACAGCTCCATCCCCAACAATGACACATTTGACAGCTTGCATCTCTTTTCTTTTGAATTAGAGTTTCAGTTCCTTGAAATTCTATTTTTAATCCATTTCTTTTCACGTTTTTTTATTTTTAAGTTCTTTACATTTCCTTCTTGTATATAAAAATATACCCATAAAAACGGGAAAGTTTAATTTATAATTTAATTATAGTAAAAATATAGTTTCTTATCAATTTCTAAAATTAAAAAAAAATTAAGTTTCTTTTAAAAAAGAAAAAAATAAAGAAAGAAAAAAAAAGAAGAGAATCATGTCATTGAAACTTGCATCAAAAACTGTGATTGATTCATTTCATTTTGATCAGACACCTATTTATGTTAACAGAGATGGTGAACTTATTGTTAATAGGGCAGTAAGAAGAATGCCTAATGGAGATTTATGTCAATTCATGATTTATAGAATTCAAACAGATATTAATTATTCAAGTTTAAACACATCAATTCAAGCAAAGGTTGAAATTTTAAAAATTAATCAATTACATATTTATAATGATAAAACGATTATATCCAAAATTCCTACTTTAAGAGAGAAAGATCATCCTTATGTATTAAAATGTTGTGGTGGATTTTTTGCATCACCATATAATACATTAGAATATTGGATGATTTGTGAATATTCAACAAACACAACATTGTTTAGTTATATGAAAAAGAATGAACCATTCTTTTTTGATGAGGTAATGACAATTGCATATCAATTAGTTAAAATAATGAATTATGCATATATCGAATTTAGACAAACATATATTCATCTTATCCCTCAAAATATATTCTTAGGTAGAGACCCTTCATCTCCATTTCCTCAAGCCAAATTATCTCCGTATGCTTTTATTCCTCATAAAGGATATGATGATATTGAAGAATTACCATTTGTACCAGTTGATTATATGAGTGGTATTAGAGCTGAGTTAGTTAGTACATGGTCATTTGGTGTAATATTATACAGAATGATCACTGGTTATATCCCTCAACATGATGAAAATGGTATCATCTTACCAAATGAGTTATTACATATTGAATCAGTTGAAGCAGTTGATTTAATACGTCAATGTATTAATATTCCTTTTAAGAGACCTTCAGTTGAATCAATTAGAGGACATCCACTTATACGATTATGTCGTCAACACACTAAACTACCACATACTAACAATGATTATACAATCATATCTACTATAGGAAGAGGACAATTTGGTTCAGTCTTGCTTGCTGTTAATAAATATACTGGGGAACAAGTTGCTATAAAAGAAAGTTTTGGTCCACAAAATACATTTTTACAAAAAGATGCAAGAACAATGATGTGTTGTTTATGTCAACAACTTGTTCCATTTCTGGGATATTTTGAATTACCATATTCTTTAAGTTCATTGAATGATAATTCCTTTAGTTCACCACCAGAACTCCATTGTTATCTTGTGATGGAATATTGTGATGGAGGTAATTTAGAAGAATTTATTATGAAATTTCCTGGGTTATTACCTGACATTTACATAAAACACTTTTTAGGAGATATTGCACTAGGATTACGTTATCTTCATTTTACAAAAGGATTAGTTCATAGAGACTTAAAACCAGAAAATTTTGTGTTATGTACACAATCAAAAAATGGTACATTACTTCCTGGTGAGATTCCAAGAATTAAAATTACTGATTATGGATTTAGTAGAGCTATTCTTGACGATAAAATAGCTAGTGAAAAAGGAACGTTATTATTTGAAGCACCTGAAATATTAAGACATGAAGGATATTATACTTCTAAAAGTGATTTATATAGTGTTGGAGTTATTATCTATCACTTAGTAACTAAAACATGGCCTTTTGGATGTTCAAAAGAAAGTTTTTTTGAAGAAATGGCTAAACGAAGTTCATTAAAATTCCCTGATACTATTGTTATAGAAAAATCTCTTAAAGATTTAATGGTTCATTTAATTACACATGAAGAAAATGAACGGATAGGATGGAAAGAATTCTTTCTTCATCCTTATGTGAGACAATGCCTTGAATTAAAAGGTGCATCAATGGATTTTAATCGACATGAAATATATAGTTTTAATTAATAGTAAATATTTTGTTTCTTATAGTTTTCGTTGATCAACTCGAAAATCTCAGTACTATGGAGAGAAGAGGGAGGGATAGATATGAATACTCATATAGCACTAGCGAAGAAAATGATAGAACAAGGTCAAGAAGTAGGTCACACCATAGAAGGAATGAGAGGTTATCAGGTAATAGACGAGATCAAGAACGTTTTGAATTACAAAATAGAGAAATTTGTTCTGATAAGTTAAATCAGTATAACTTTGATAATGAAAAGAAAGATGTGATTATCTCAATTAATGATGATGAAGATGAGATATTAAAGAAAATGGGGTTGGCAAATGGATTTTGTTCTACAAAAGGAAAACATGTAAAAGGAAATATTGAAGGGTATTCAAAAATTAAAGCAACAAGTAAGATATTCAATTTACTTATTAATAAAAGAGGAGTTCATCAGAAGCCTGTTGATGTTAAATTAAAAAAGTAAATGATTGTTTATTACTCTTTTTTTTATAAACCCAGAAGAACTGAATAACCTAAATATGCCACTCTTAAAAGTATGTTCCATTGAGTCTCTTCAAATTTGTAAATGGTTAATTATCGTTCTTAGTATTATCTGTGGTTGTTGTTCAATGGTCCCAAATATAAATAAACTATATAAGACAACTACGTTTTCAATCTTAAATTTGACAGATCTATCAGGATATTTAATGATAATTTCATATCTTTGTCTTTTAGCATTAAATATGATAGGATTTATATTAATTTTAAACGTCCAAAGTATTATAAGATTTAGTCTATTAATCATTGTTGAATATTTATTTCTCTCTTTATGTTTGTTGTTTCTTTTGTTTGAAATATTATTTAAATATGAATCTATTTCAAGTTACTTATTATTATTCTTCATTCTCTTTATTTTTGGGTATCATTATACTATTCAAAGACACCCATCACAACTCTCTTTTTTGTTTGGTTTTCATGTAACTTTAAGGATGGTTTTTTCTGTTAATTTGATTTTCATTAGTTTAATGACAATTATTGCAAAGTCAAATGAATTAAAGGTGGTTTTTAATTGGATATTGGTAGTTCTTTCATTATCAATCATTGCTTCCTTTTTTAAAGATTTTCATCAAATAGAAATGCATAAGAGGGTATTCCAAAGTGAAGAAGAGTTAGTCACTTCAATTGAACTATGAACAACAATTATTTTTATTTTCTTTAACAAAACTCGAAGTTTGAAAAAAGGTTTTAATTGAAAAAATGGGTAATTAATTGGTTTAAGAACTCTTGTCTTTTGAGCCAGTTTTATCGTTCGTTGGAATCATGTGATAAATAACAATAATGATTAGAGCAATTACTGTCAATAATCGTAACATAGATGTGAGTTGTTCTTCAGTGATTTCCACTACGAATGAGTTGATATAGATGAATAAAAGAGAATATGTTCAATTCAAACTTCTTAAGAACTTTTTTTGAATTTTTCAGTTTCTTTTTTTTATTTTTTTCCTTTTTACATTGAAACTTCTATTAATAAAAATTTTTTATAAAATAGTTTCTTGTAACGATACAAAATATCTCAAGATTTAATTCGTAAGAATCAATCTATCTAAGCCATGACATAAACTAATTAAATAAATGTTAATTAGTAAGAACAAACAAATAACATTCGTATGACTAACTAAATAAATGTTATATTTATATTATTCATACAACAATATAACAATTATTACAATTATTTTAATATTAAATATACTACAATGAACATTTTCTATAATTATATTTTAGAAGTATTCAAAAAATGTGATAGTACTAAGAGTTTCATTTTAATAAATATTAATAAAAATCAAAATGAATGTTTAAGTTGTTAGGAATTAAAATAGTTAATATAGTAGTGACATAAAACAAAATATTTAATAATATTATTTAAAGAAAGAAGTTTATAACATTATTAACTTAGTGTTTCTGTTTGTTTTATTTAATAAATCTTTAAATGAAAAAATAATAAATATGAGTTGATAAAATAAAAAGGAAAAGTTGTTTAAAAGATGTTATAGAGATATGAAAGTCTTTGTCATGATAATGATAAAATTATAGTAACTATTTGTTTCATAAGAGAAGATAATAAATAATATTTATTATCAAAAATACACTTATTATGAAAAGATAAATATTGGTACTGTAATTATCAATACATAACTAATAAATTAAATACTATTCATAAAATAAATACAGAAAAAAAATAAATGATAATTTATCTTTATAATAATTTATCAATTAATTAATACTTAACTAATCATTAAGAATTTTATAGTTATTGAAATTACAATAAAATTTAGACAATATACTAAAACAATTAATTATTAAAAATTAGATAATTTATTTCTGTATCAATATTTTTTATCATATTAAAACTAAAAATTAAGAGTTATAATAAAAATAAATTCCATTATAAAATTAAAACATATCGAAGAATTTAAAATAGTATCATCTAGTAGTGAATAAAAAATTATAGGGAGACTGCTTTGTTTATAATTTCACTTGTCTTCTTAATTGAATTAACTTGTTTTTAAAAACAATAAAAAGATTGTCTTTTGGAGTATGTATGGAATAAGAAAAGTCAAATTATTTTATTTTCATCTAAGTCATAAAGATACAATCACAATGAAAAATGATAGAAAAAATAACTATCTTTCTTAAAAAGAATCAGATGAAGAGTTATAGACCAAAGTTATC